GCTGCACCAAATGAACTGGTCTGCGATCTCGGCGAAGTTCCAGGCAACTGCGAAGAGCCAGACGATAGCCCGACAGGATCTACGCCTGCTGCGGCTGGCGCGGTACTACCTGCAGCTACAGCTGCCCATGATGAAGCAGAGCGGGGCTGTGCAAGACGCGCAGGAGGAGCAGCACCCTCAGTCGGCACAGTGGGCGCGTGGGTGGAGGAAGCAGCAGTAGTGGCAGCTGCACCAAATGAACTGGTCTGCGGTCTCGGCGAAGTTCCAGGCAACTGAGAGGAGGGAGAAGATGCCCCGCCGTAAGCGGCAGCCGCGGCTGCGGAGGTCGAAGAGGCTCCGGTATGGCGGTCGCTAACGGATGATCCATCCGCAGGCCTAGGAGTGGCTGATCGATGAGATAACCGCGGTATTAAAGAAACAGCAGGCGACGCGCTATGTGGCAATTCACCAGATGAATCACGCAGGGACACCCTCTTGAGGCGCCTCTTACCCTGCAAGGGCCCTCTCGTCCTCTCAGATGCAGCTGTGTCAGCATCGATGTCATCATCATTGAAAACAAGCGTTGTGGGGGGAGGTGAGGTGCGAGCGGAGCCGGTTGCGTCAGTCGTTGTCTGTGAGCCTTCGGGGAAACCTGCCAGGTGATGTGGGGCAGTAAATGAAGTGGAGACAGCAGTAGCAACAAAGGGAAACGTGCTGGAGAAGATGGGAGTAGGAGCAGACCTGGCGCTGTCGACATCTGCGTTTGAGACAGGGGGGGAAAACGCCAGCCTTCCACCATCACTGCCTCCGCAGTCCGAACGAAGTTCTGCGCCAGCCCCTGTATGTGAGCCTTGGCGAAGAAACGTGTGCTGCTGCCGGGAAGCGGGAGCACTGCGTCGGTCTTCCGGACGAGCATATGCGTTTTCTCTGGAGCGCTGCGGGCGTGTAAAGGCGGGCTGGTTTTCCTTCTTCTTACCTAACCAGGGTTCTTTGCCGGATCCAAGCGGAGTGCTCCGAAGGTCTCCGAGGAGTTTGCTATGGGCCTGAAGGGGCTGATTGATTAATTTCTGCAAAGCTTGTCTCCTAACAAGCGCGTAGTGAGTGCCATGATGGTGCATCCGCAGCCATTCACTCAAGAGCGGATCGCTAAGAACTTGGTTCCTGCGTAAATGAATGGTTGTCACCATAGCAGTTACAGTTGCATCAAGTCGTTCCTCCGTGGCACCATCGCTAGCTGCAGCAGGTGTCGATGAACCTGCAACATCCGCATCTTCTGCAGCGTCATCAGGGTTGGCGTCGTCGTTTGTCCTATCAGAGTTTACACACTGCCTCAGCCCAGCAATCCCGCGCTTGACCTGTTCCAAGGCTGTCTCCTGTAGCTGCAACAAATTATGGAGTTCCATTAGCCAGTCCCTCTGTGGGTAGCGCTCTGGAGTGGGGTCGATTTCATGGAGGTTGCCAAAGGTAATGTGGAGCCATCTGATGTGCCTCTGCCGCGAAGAGGTAACATCTTCGTTTTCTACGCTGTTTCGCATGTCCCATATTCTACCGTACATTCCATGTACTCCTGCTTCCAAGACTTGCCTTTCTCTTCTTTCCAGCAGAGAGAACAAAGCAGCGAGCTCCACCACAAGCAGAACCAACAGCGCTGCGAGGCACCTGGCTCTCAATACGGGAGGTAGACTCCACAGAACACTTTGGCTGCCATCTACCATCTCCATCAGTTTACCCGTATAAATTTTGGCCTTTAGCAACAAATCATTCGCAGCAAGAGGTCCTTCGTCAACCTGTTCGTATTCCCCTGCAGCAGCGGCACCGGCAGGGGGTCTCTCCTGCGGTAGATGGCAGGGGTTTCCCCTGCTTTCATCTGACCACCGTCCTTCTGCAAGAAATCTCAGTTCTCCTCTGCTTCTGCTAGCGTTCCTCAAGTACACAGCGCAACGCAGCACCAAGAAGCCTGCTGCAACGGCCACAACGGCTGCGAGGGCTGCCACGCCGATGTTGAGCCCTCGAACCCCCCCATAACGTCTCTTTTGGAGGCTTCTCGAAGTAACAGTGGAAGGAATCTTTCCAGATGAGACATCCCAAGCACTCTCGCTCCAGGCTTGTAACGGCAGCAAGCTGGGGAGCGTGCCGGTTTCTGCTGCTGATGCTGCTGCGGTTTGCATGACACCCCGCCAGCCACGACAAGGCAAGAAATAATGATTCAATACGTTTGAGGAGAAAGTAGACTGGAAAAATGGGAAGCAGACGGGGAAAGAACAGAGAAGAACCAGTGACGCGAATGAGGCGTCCCCTGAGAGTTCATCGACGTTTAAACGAGAATTGGATCACCTCTGAAACATACAGTTCTCCTTGGAATATACAAATGTTGCTATTTTTATTAGGATGAATCTGAATGTAGGGGAGAATTGTATTCAAGTCTTGAACCGGACTCTGAACGGGAGCCTCTTGCCCGGCGGGCACTGTCGAGGTCGTTAAGGAAAGACATGCAGAAGGTATGACGAGGAGATTACAAGGGTTTTCTTAAATTCTTTAAGCTCAAAATGCATATAAAATGTGTCGGAATATCCTGTAGATGGACTTCACGCAAGGTGCATCCCTTGGGGCCTCAGCGGCGAAGGTCACGGAGTAACTTCTATGGTGTAGCTACAGTACCGATGGTGCCGCTGGCGCTGATACTTCCGTCTGTGCTACAGTTCCCCATAATGTGAAATTGTGTTGTTCTGATTGTTGTTGTGTACCTTTATGATTTAAGCATCAATAGAAGGGCCCATACTACCACGGGAGACCTGGGGTCGGGGGGAGCGGAAACTTTGTGCGGTAGCCCCTCAGGGGCATTCTGGCCGAGCCCCAAACAACTCTTGTTGCAGCTGCCTGCCCATCAGGAGCCTTGTAGCTTTCTCAAGGTGGCTTGTTGAGGGTGAGTAGCGTGCATTGGGCCACGGGGTAGTGTTGTTGTAAGACCGAGGCGCTCGCGCACCGACGTACGAGCGCGCACGGTTTTCCTTGACTTCTGGTCTTCCCCCGCTGCTGCTCTATGTTCTGTCGTCCCGGGTTCTCAAGCCTCTTTGCCCCTGTCATAACCTCCAATTCCGAGTCAATGTTTGGTCACACATACGGCGGGGAGGCTCAGAGCTGTAAGCGTGCAGCCGGTGCAGCAAGCACCTAGCGCCTTCGCTACGACGGCCCGCTCGCCCCCACCAAATTTGTTTCTTAATACGCATTCAAGACTTCACCACGATACTGCAGCTGTCGGGAGGAGGAAGGTAAGGCATATTTTGCATTGTCCCGTATTTTCCGTCACTGCGTTGCTGCACGGATTTTCAAGTACTCTCCTAGCTCTGCAGGCGGTTGCCGTCATGTGTTGCATGTGCTTAAAAATGGCAGATGACGATTTGCTGGGAGACTAGCAAATCGCTAGCGGCCTCTTTCAACAGCAACAGCAGAAGAGTAAACACCTGAAGCTCTTCAGCAACGTTACTAGGTGTTACTGATTTACCTTAACTCTCCTGCTCTAGCAAGACCTGCGGCCCCTGCAGGCCCCTGAAGAGTTCATTTCCTTCTAAAGTACGTGTAGGCTGGTGCATGCAGCAGCAGCCGCAGTGTTAGCAGCAGATGAAGTGGTGAAAGACGGGGGTTTAAAGCCTCTCGCCAGGCAAGTCTACGAGACATAGACCAATGCGTTAGAGCCCAACCGTGCAGCGCCGGCCCGTGGACTAAAGCAATCCCTTGACCGTGGCCGATTACCCTATGCTGAAACTCAGCAGGGTTGACTTAACATCGCTGCAAGGGGTATGCTTTAACAGCACCGGCAAGTCCTCCTATGCGGAACTGTCCAGTCCCCCTAGACAAATGCTGATGAGAGTTGGAGCCCCTACAAACACCCCACGACTTCTTGTGGCAGATGCCCTTTACCATGCGATTTAACGCATATCTATACCTTCAAAAATAAAAAATAATTTCGCTGCCGAATGAGTGAGAACAACACTAGCACTGCAGCCGGAGGGCCGACGCCACCCCCGGAGCCCCACACACGCAGGGGCCGTGCAGGACGATTCGCTAGAACTGTATATATATTATGGGGTTGATGTAATTATTTTTGCATAAGCACTTAAATATTAAAGGAAGGTCCATTGTTAGGTTTTTTTTGTGGCGTTTACCTGCCTGTCCCCAGCGATCCGCAGCCTACGTTGGTTGGCAAAGCCCAGTGGTCATTCGTTCCAAATTGGTCTTGAGGCTCCTGAAGTAGGACTTTCTGGTGTGATCGGGAACACTTTATGACCAAAACGACAATCTTTTCTATTGGCTACGCGTGGAACCGTATGTTTCACGAGCAATCCGATGCACGACTAGGGAGCGATGGACGATCAGGAAGTGCCTCCTCCGTAACAGTTGTTCTCCTTTTCTTCTGCTTTCCCCGTCAAAACTTTTCTCCTCATTTTTCTCTTTCAATTTATCGACTTTGTGTTGTTTGTCTTTTTACATGTGTGGGGGTGCCATGCAAGTCGCAGCAGCAACAGAAACTGGATCTCCAACCTCGCCGCACCCGGTGGACTTGGGCGACAGTGCTTCGGAGGTTATATCTGGGAATGTTATGTTGCATTTTGCTTCGAAAATACTCAGACAGAGGCAGAATGGGGAGTTTGGGAGGCTCAGCTTCACTGGGGCCACCCTCGCAGCCGTTGTTGCTGTTGTTGCTGCATACTTGGTGCTCCGCTGCGCTCTGCACTTGTCGATAACCAGAAAGAGCATAGAAGCACAGCGATTTCTTGCAGAAGCAGAATTTCCAAAAAGCAAAGGCAAGGGAGAGCCTTGCGGCGCCCCTGAGAGGGGTTCTTCTGGTGGCCCTCCTGCTGGTGCAGATGCTGCTGCCGCTGCTGTGGAAGAGGAAGAGGAAGAGGAAGAAGCTCCTGTTCTGAGGGATTTGTTGGTACGGGCACGCCGTTATGCAGCTGACTTGGCGCAGCTTATAAGGAAAAGCGGACGGCTTGTGGTGAACCTGGACTCCCACCTGAAAGCCAGGTGTGTAGCAGAGTTCTTGTGTTTGTGTGTGGTGGAGTTTTCTGCCTTGTTCTCCCTGTTGGAAAGGAAAGAGAGGGCCGGCATCAGAGAAATAATCTCTAAAATATCATCCCATCTATTTAGCTTTCGTCGCAGCTTTGGCAGGGGAGAGATTTCCCACACGCGGTTCCGGCATATTCGATGTGTCCACGCGCTCCTCAATAGGCTCGCAGACGTCAGACCGTCTGCAGGAGCCCTCCAGGAGAAGCAGCGATTGGTGATGATCAAGCACCTGCTGCAGCTTCAGGAGCTAGCCTTGGCTCAGCTCAGTGCTGGTATTTTCTGGCTGAGCATGTCTCAACAGATGTTGGAGAAAGCAAGAAGCAAACCCAAAGGGGCTCCTGCAGCTGCTGAAGGCGCTGCTCCCCCCACTACTGCTGTGGCTCTCAAGAATACTGCAGAAACTAGAAACAGAACTGCTGCAGCTGCTGCAGGTGACTCTGCAGCTGCTGCAGGTGACTCTGCAGCTGCAGCCGCTGCTGCAGGTGACTCTGCAGCTGCTGCAGGTGACTGTGCAGCAGCTACAGGTGACTCTGCAGCTGCTGCAGGTGGCTCTGCAGCTTCTGAAGCTGCTGTGAAAGCGCCCCCTTCAGCAGTTTCTATAGCAGCTAGTAAAGTTATTTCAGCTGTTGTGGCTATAGAACTTACCGTCCATAGGCGCAGGGAACAAGTTCTTCACATTCCGCAGCTAAGCTATTGGCTGAGGGAGGCGCATGAAAGGCCCTTTCACTACGGTCTTTTAAGTCGTTTCCGCATCGACCGGATAGCCCAAAGACCCCTCCAAACCCATAAGCAACAAATTCAAACCTTGCAAGATACTCCACTTGGATCCGGAGAAGAGCCCTGGGAGAACGCGCGCCTCAAGAGGATTCTCTCCAGGAAGAGGGGCGTTGCCAAATACCTCCCGTGGGAGGCTTTAACGGCCACCAGACCATCTCCTTCTGAAGGCCCAAGCAGTGCTCCGGGCTCCCCAGGGCCACTGACGTCCCCTGGCCAAGGCCCACAAGCAGAGGCCGACGATGACGGACTCGCTCTTGCTCCCTTGTCCCCCAGCGCGTCTACTGGTGAAGATACTCTTGCTGAGGAGGAGGAGGAGGAGGAGGAGGAGGAGGAGGCAAACGTACTGTCTTCCAGTCCTTTCAACGAAGAGCATCCCCGTGTTCTGCCTAATGAACTTACATCTGTCCCGGTGCCTGTTGCTACATTGCTTCCCCACTCCTCCGCATTTTCCACCTCTCCAGAGCTTGCTCCCGCCCCCTCAGCTCTCGACCACTCGCCGGAAGTCACGCGGGCCTCCACCGTCGTGGATGCCCCTTCTGTCGGGAGACCTTGCGAGTCTTATCAGTTTTCTGGACCTGTCCCGCGACTTCCACCTAGTTCATTCAGGGCACCTATTTCTTCAAGTGCTTATTCTTCTCACGCCTCCACTTCCTCTGCCTTCGACCTTGCTGCTCAGGATCCCGCGATTACCGCCGTTTTGGGTGCATTGCCTGCTTCCACAACAGGACTGCTCGCCTTGCCTGCCTCTGGAGCACAGCCACCAGTATCAGTTTCTCAACAGGATGGCTTTGACAGAACACCGGGTGCATCAAGGCCCCGCCGTCCCGCTGACAGATTTGGAGCTCCTTTTGTGTCTTTTATGCCTTGTGGAAGTTCTCTTGTTTTCCCTGCACCTACCGAGGCAGCCTGGCCGTTGCACAGCCCATGGATTGATCAAAGCATTCTTCGCGACTTCGATGAGCCCACTCGGGCCGCCATTGATGCAGGATTTGAGGCACTTGGGAGAATCTTTAGTGGCATCCCACAGACTCGCGAAGCAATTCCCTTTGGACAGTTTCCAGCGGCAGCAACAAATCCCGCACCTGATGCTGTAGCAAGTCCTGCAACAGTTCAGATCCCCTCCGTGTTAACTGAATCTGGTGAAACGAGCTATTCACTTCCAGGAGCCAGTTTGGAGGGGAGTTCCGGGTTTTTTTCTCGTTCTTAGGTGCGTGAAAGGGAGCAGATTATGTGACGGACGGGAGACGTGGAAGGCATGTCTCTTGGGCGCTCCCCTGTATACTATGGGCCAAAAGGGAACAGCACTGTCCAGAAGGGAGCGTTTCGGCATGATGCATCATACGTTGTCACTGCACTAAATGGATGCCCATGAGGCAACAGGGCAACGGGATCTGTCAAGGTTGTTGCTGTGTGCATTGTTGCACAGAAAGGGGCTAGAGCGCTCTGAGGCAGGAAGATGTGAGGCTGCGAATACAGGCCATCGTCCTGGCAGCTTTGATGTCATTTGACGAATATATGGTGTGCTTTCTATGTTTATCGCGAAACGGCTGTAAATGAAAATATAGCGCGAGGACGGCCATAATTCGTGGCTGCAGTAGTATGTCTCCACGAAGGTATGATGTTCCAATATTTGTGGCGTTTTTACATAAGAAGGTAGGGGATTAAAATGTAGTGATGAGCGTGTGGATCCGTGCGTTTGTGTGTCTGCAAGTAGTTGTGGAACGGCAGTCAAGCGCTTTCTGCAGGACGTGAAACAGCAGCTGCACTTCGTTGCATCTAGAGCCCTCGCGCTTATCCTGTGACGATTGCGATCTGCAACTAGATCCCAATACTTATGGCAAGCCTTCCTCAAAGCGACTGACCCCCTACCCCAGTCTGCAGGCGTCCTGGGCACAGCGGTCAAAGTGCCTGGACCTGAGGGCGAGGAGGTGGCCTTATAGTAGTTGCAGCATACCTTACTGCAGCTCAAGGTGCAAACCTGCTGCACAAGCAACCACAGGCAAGCCGTCTTGGATATACGCATACACACTGTTGTCCGTTGTTGGAATCATTTGCTTGAGCACCGTTTGCCTAATAGGCTGCAGGGCCAACATCAGACGTCCTTCCAAACATCTGCCAGGGTGTGCTGCATTTGATGCTCTCTCTTCTGTTCTCCCCTGCGCAGGCAGGTCATAAAAGATCTGCTGTTGCGTCTTGCCAATGCAACGAGCTTTGGACATTTGCTCGTACACTGCAGCCGAGCTGTTGAAACCCGAAAACTGCGAAGGCGATAGCTTGTTTTTTTATTCAACCTCTGCCTGGTCACACAGCAGGCCAACCGCCATTATTGGTGCCTTGCGTAAGAAAGGTGCAGCAGACGAAAACAGTTGTGTTGGCCTTCAATCGATTCTTGGTGTTTCGCCTTTTCACCGTAGTTCGAGGTATGTACGCCTCATGGCAGAAAAACCTTTACTTGTCTGGACCATCCACTACTTGGTCCATTGATGTCATTAGCACCGTAATTGAGTTGGAACAGAGCCAACTGCACGCTTGCATCGAGGCATGAGCCTATAGAGAGCAAAAGGTGAAAAAAAAACAGATAAGCAATGCAGGGTCCTATTGGACGTTTGTATCTCTTACTAAGAGTTAATACAGGCGTTAGATACTTGAAAAGCTAAGCCTCCGCAGTTAAATTCTCTCTTTGACTCCCTCAAAGCAAGCATCGAATGGCGTTAACTTGCTAAGTCACAAGAAAAGGCCCCAAAACAGCGATGCTTACAGGGCTGTGGTAATGTTGTCAAGGAGGACAGAAGCATACATTCCAGCTGGAAAGCCCCGCGGCAAGCCCCTTGCCCCGAATGATATAGCAGAACAACTGATCGGCATGAAGACCTACAGCCGTAAATCTACTGGTACACCATACAATCTGCAGAGCGCCCGTCACAGTAAGCTTCACTTTTTCTGATTCATGATCTAGTTAGTGCCATCTGTAAGTACCCTAAGTACTACGGGAGCATCTGCGTAGCAGTTATACACTATAGCTATTTAAGTGAGTAACACACGTCTGGGCGGCCTGTACGAAGAGAGCAGGAAGCCAAGTTAGAGCTTTATGAGATGCTGAACGCACATCCATGTTGAAAAGGGGGGCTGAATACCGAGCGGTGTACGATTTAGTTGCGTTATCAACGATTTCCATTAACTGTTTCTGATGAGTGATACGGATAATCCTGGCTCTACTGTCTCTACTGCTGCATGTTTGGGACTGAAGCACAGCGTTGCGAAAGGCACAGAAGTGATCTGCTGTGTGTGAAAGTCGGGTGAGCGTTGGCAAGTAAGGGCACGATGAAAACGAAGCAGTGGTAAGCCAGTGTGGCATGTGGCAGCTTCGCACGGGGATAGACACGGAGAGTGGGACACAAGAAGTGGCAAACAGGTGAAGAGATCCCAGAAGTCAGACACTCTAAGCATCCGTATAGGTGAAGACGAAATAGTAGCAAGAGAGAGCGACAGTTCAGTGAAGCAGCTGCCAGCGCAAGGCAATGCCAGGAAGCGCCCGGTCCGTGGGCCGAAACAATCAACAAAAACACTACATACTGCTTAACTCATGCAATGACAAAATTAGGAAAGTTGCACTGTTCCGGTTGCTGAAGCAGGAACAAGTGCTGGTTTGTGACCATCCTAGAAGTGCCCCGAGACAGCTGCCGATGCGTGTCCGCGTTCCCCACAACACCACCGCTTAACTTGGCTGTGAATCCACTCTCGCGATGCTTAGTGCAATAAGGCACTTTGTATATGTCCAAAAACGCAATTTTATTCAAACAGCACGAGCAAAAAAAACAGCGAGATCACCAGCAGCAACACTCCAGCTGCATGTTAGAAGACTGCCTTTATGGCACGGACCCAAGGTCCACTCGGACTCTCCGCTCTACAAGTCTGTCTGTAGGAAATAAAGGCATTTTTTTTCGTTGAATCTGCATTCAAGAAGTAGAAGACGATCCATTTGATACATCCTTTGTAGCTCCCTCGTGCCTTCCCCTGACGATCCCCAAGGCGCCGTCCAGACTACCAGCTGTCCGCAGGTCGTTTGTTCTATGCCCCCCGCCAAGCTCTGAAAGCAGAGTTGTCCGCTGCATTTATCTGCTTTATAGGACTAAATAAACACTATTTTAAATGAGCATGCAGGGAATCTTGCGTTTCGGAGGCGATAGGATGCAGGGATAGGTTAGGGGGCGACCAGCACTCGGGAAACGCCTCCCCTAGTGCAGTTGTTGTCCTTCGTTCCAGCCTTCCCCCCGCCCATTCTCTCTTTCGTCTTTCCTGTTGAATCTCCAACCTCATCGTCGTTTATATTAGGCTGACTGAGTGTCATGCAGACCGCAGCAGCAGCAGAACCGGCCGCCCTCCCGACCTCTCCGCAGCTGGTGGGTTTGGGAGACAGTGCTTTGAAGGTCTTCCCTGGAGAGGTTGTTTTACCTTTGAATTCAAAGAGCATTCGAAAAAGGCGGAATCGGGGGGTCAAGGGACCAAGCATCGGCGTTCTGGCCCTCGCTGCAGTTGCTGCTCTTACAGCAGGGTACTTAGTGGTGCGCTGCGCTGTGTTTTTGCTGAACAGTAGCAGGAGCACAGGGGAACTGAGAGTTCTTGCGGGGAAAGAAAATGCAAGGCAGAAAGACCCGGTAGGAGCATGCGGCTCAACAGAGGATGATCTCCGCGGAGCAGCTGCTCCGGCTGCTCACGTGGTTGAAGAAGTGGATCCTAGTGATGACTCCAGCTTGGCAGTAAGGGCTCGCGATCATCTTGCTAAACTTTCTATTCTAATTAGAGATCATAAGCATGTAGTGCTTGAACTTAATCCGCATCTGAAAGCGAAGTGCGTTGCCGAGTTCCTGTGTCTAGCTGTGGTTGAGGTCTCAGCTCTGCTCTCCGTGTTGATACCAGAACAGTGGGGAGCGATGAAACGTGCTATATATTCAACATCCACGTTTGTATGGGATATCCGCAAAAGTTTCGGTGGCTTTGACCTTACTCGCACGCGGGAACGACACATTTCCTGTCTGCACAAAATGCTGGATGCGCTCCCAAAGGGCCCTCCACCTAAGCAAGCATTACCGCATGGGGAACGGGTGGTGAAACTGAGGGAGGTATTGGAGCTTCAGACCCTTGTCCTGCGGCAGCTGGAAATAGGACTTGGTTGGCTGACAAATGCTGTGAAATCCCTCCAGGAGGAAACAGGTGGCCTCGCAGAACTTGTAGCTGCTACTACTAGTACAAACAGTGCTGCTGATATAGGTATAGCAGCAGCAGAAGGTGTTTCAGAACCTGTTGACAGTTATTTATCCATTAACAGTGTTGCACACAATAGAATTACTGCAGCTGTCGTGGGCATTGAACTATTGGTTCACGAACGGAAGGACCAAATCCTTCAAGATCCGCTCCTCAGCCATCTTTTGCGAAAGATACACCCGCCAGGCCACTACGGCATCACCAACCGCCATCGTCTTGATTATCTGTCCATGCAGGGGGTTAAACCCCATGGTGAACTCTTAAACGCCCTGAGGAAGACTCACCTGGGAACGTATAAACCACCGTGGGAGACTGTTCCCCCTTCGTACGTCGATATACATTTGAAGGCCGCCGTGTCCGCCTTGAAAGAGGCGAGCATCCTAGAGGAACTTCGGTTTCTTCCTGAAGACCCAAGCAGCAGCGATCTCCAAGGTTTAGAAACAGAGGACACCGTTGCGGAGACCGTTGCCCATTCTGCGTCCAGCAGAACTACTACCACTGCTGCTACAACTGGGGAGTGGCACGAGGTTTCACAGACTGCCAGGAACGACGAAGGCGTGCTTGCGGGGTTAGAATCAAGTGTGTCCCAACAGATGCTGCCTGCTGCTGCAGAAGCTCCAAGGAGCTTTAAGTTGGTGAAACAAACCCACGGGTCTTCCGACAACTCTAGTACTCCTGAAACCCAACAGACGCTTCCACCGAGTACATTCAGAACTACTGTTTCTGCTTCTGCGGCTTACTCTCCTGAAACCGTTTTGTCGAGTCCAGGTGGTGGTTTCTTCGCTCCTGTTGCTTCGTCTTCATCTGCTGCATCGGGGGCTTCACTACAAGTGCCCATAGCCTTTCCTGGATTTACTGCCTCACGTGCACATCCGGCACCATCCTCATCTGCACAACTTCGCTTCGAACGTCCGCGAGGGTCGCCAAGGCCCCATGTTCCGTTCAAGCCGCGCGGTGTTCCTTTTCAGCGAGTACCACGGCAAGCAACTTCGAACGTTTTCGGTGGCCCTGCGGCGGCACGCCCAGGCCAACCGTTGCAGCTCCCAGAGAAGGGTGGATATGGGTGGCTACCAAGAAGAATTCCCTACGAACACGCTGCCGCCTCCCTGCCCAAGGAAGAACCTGGTGAGCCAATTGAGATACCGATTGCTGCAGGATTTGACCTACCCGCAGAAACGGCGTTTGACCCTTCGATATGGGCGTCGCCGGTACCTGAAACGCAGCTGCTTTTTGCCGATCCCCGTAGACCAACGAACTATGGCCCACGTGCAGGAGGACCAATGCAAGGAATACCGGTGAATAGGTCTGTCAATTTGGAGGGAGGGTGGCACCCCAGACAAGACCTCCGCAGACCGTCTGTTACCTTGTTTCCCCAAACCGAACACAATGAGTTAACTGCGTCAGCGTTTAGTCAAGGATATCAGCGATTTGAAGATATCTCTGGGGAGAGGGAACGTTCTGTGTGGGACAAGGTCGCGTTGTTGTGGGGTGTATCCACACCGGAGTCAATGAAAGACTTTCGTCCACCTGCAGGTACAACAGGCACGGGACTACCGGAAGGCAGCTACGGCAGCCAATTCGACTTGGAGGGATGGGGACAACCCAGAGGAGACCTCCGTAGACCCACGAGTAGCGTCGTGCAAACGGATCACCACAGGGAGTTAGCTAAGACAGCGGGTGCCTCAAAGCTTAGGCCTCAAGCACCCAGCTTCGTGGCAAAAAGCGTATCTGGTCCGAGACCTTCGACGTCGGTGTTGCATGTGTCTCTATCGCAGCCCTCATCAACCCCGGTGGCTGGAGTGTGGGGAACTCGTTCATCTTCACAGCAGAGGGGATTTCCTGTAGACCTCTACGGGCCCACCATCTCGGATGAATGGAGTCCACGAAGAAGACAGTCCCGCACACCCGGACCCCGTAGTGGCCCCCTCGACAATAGAGCACACGGAGAGTCCACAGAGGCGGCAATTGCTGCAGGATTTAGCGAACTTGGGCTGCTCTTCAAGGGGTTATCTAGCGAAGAATCAGGAGAAAAAGAGTACTTAGAGGGCAACAAGCGGTAGATGGAACTCCACCAGTTGCAGCAAGTGATGCAGGAAATCATGCAGCAGCGAGTGCTGCAGCGGGAAACGCAGCGGGAGGTGCCGATGCTGATGGTCCAACAGCTCCGTCTTATACTCCTTTTAACAAAGAGAGTGAATACTGTGGCTCAACCTTAGCGATTGCCCCTTGGTGAGGTCAATTTCTGTTCTGTTTACCATCCGTTGATGTATAAGGGAGGGAGAGTATTTGAACAAGAGATACGACGTAGACGAGGGGTCTCGTGAGGGTCCGCATGCGTACGGTTTGTTCGTTCTTACCTCAACAGAAGAGGAGTCCTCTTCTATGGGGGAGAGCATGATAGAGGAACGGCACCGTGGAGCAACCAATACATGAATAGGATATCCACAAGGAAAGGAGTCTATAAGGGACCGATTAGTAGGTCTGTTTATTTACATGTTTAGTTATACCACCGATATTTTTAGCAGAAAGTTGTCTGCAAGATGTTTCCTTATTATTGTTGTTGTTGTTGTTGCTGTTGTTGTTGTTGCCTAGTGTTGGGTAAGCTAAGGGTGTGCAACAAGAACTACTATACTATTGCTCATGGCAATGCTTTCTTGTGTATATACTAGTGTATTTGATGTTTTAATTGTGTTTTTATATATAAATTATAAAAATGTAGTGGATAAATAAATAAATAAGTAAATAAATACAACAACAACAACAGCCATCTTATGAATTCCTCGGTGGATACCTGAATGTTTCCTCAATTATTTGTGAATTTGTACAACTATGCATACAGCAGCGTACTATTATAACAATGTATGGCTAAATAATGTTGCAATTTGTTTGATTATATACAATTATTAGATTATTTTGTGGTATTTTAATGATAAAATGCACATAATCATAATGTAGTGCATAGGAAGGCCACCTCTGCATGCATAGAGCACCATCATGGTAGCTTGGCTCTGTGTCTGCTTTTGTATGCATGCAACATAGTTATGGAGGAATTACCGATCTTTTTGCCAATCTTTTTGCCAATCTTTTCAAGGGGTTAAGGGGAAATATGTCTATTTATATTATTTGATCATTATTTGGCTGTTTTCTTCTCCTAATGCCGTCATTTGATGGTTATGCTGCTGCTGTTGCTGCATGCATGCAGCAGCGGACGACCAACCTCTTGACTCTCCTTTTAGTTAGTCATGCTGTATCTATCATTGTCTAGTAGGCAATTGAATCCTTTCTTACTTATTCTTATTAGTTCTTATTTCCTTATTCCTTCTTATTACTATTATTATTAGGCAACTATTAAGGTAGTAGAGGTAGAGGTATAAATCATCATATATTATCTACAACTGCTAGGGAATACAGACACACAAGAAGGCTGCTTGCTTGCTCTCCTCTTTCTTGCTGTTTTGTACCTATTAAACATTTACTTAGTCATATGGCTGCTGCATGCTAGTAGATGTACTGTAGTACGGGATATTCATGTCTACATGCATGCATGCATGCATGTAGACATGCAGTCTAGTAGGGATTAAATACGTATTAAAGAATATTTAATGATGTGCATGCATGCAAAGGAGCCTTTTTTCTTTTGTTTTTCCTCTTCTTTTCCTGTTTAGTAGTGTTAGTACTAATCGTAACAAGGGGTGGTACAACCCCACTAGGCCGCTTCCTCTAGCAACACACTTGGGGGGCCCCTAGAGGGCCCCTTTTCCTGTACTACTAAGAGAGAAGAGGGGAGGTAAGCTATTAATTAGTACTTCCCCTCTTCTTGTTTAGTATCTATTGCAGGTAAGGGCGTTGTTCTTATTAGATCAGGCCCCTTTTTAGCGGGCAATTAGTACCAATTGTTTAAGAAGTACAGATGCAGAGGTAACAAGGAAAAAAGAGTAAAAAAAGAGCTAAAAGAGCAGCAGAGTACAGCGAATAAAGAAGAAGAAAGATGGTAGCATGCAAGGGGCAGCAAACAAAAGTAGCATAACACGCAGCCCCAAATAAGCAAGAGGGGAGAATAGGAACGAATAAAAAAGGAGAATAAATAAAAAATTAAAAGAAGGAATAAATATAAATACCTTTTTATCTTGTTTGTTGTTATATTCAAGCCCCTAATGGGCGACTCGACTGGCGCATGCATGCAGCAGCAAGAAAAGATCGCTACACTGTATGTTCAGTGTTGTTTCCTCTTGTTGTGTTTATCGTTTTGTATATTTAATTTATTTATTATTTATTTATGCATAGATAAGAAAAAGAGGGTTTGGTGATTACTGCATCTTTTGCTGCTGCTGGTCTGCTGCTGCTGATCTGCTGCTGCTGTTGCTGCTGCTCCTGCACGTTCTTAAGCCGCCCGCTCCCCCAGCGCAGCGATCCTTCGTCTTTTAGTCTTACCAATTGAATAAATTGTATTTATTTGTTTATTTTTATTTATTTTTATTTATTATTCGTGTTTACGTAAGGAATTAGACCTGCGACGACACCGCAGCGGCAGCAGCCTTCCTAGCTGCGGCGCCAGTGTGCGATCTTGAGGCCGTCAGCTCGTTGCTGCTAAGCAGCACGACTGCTTATTCCTGCTGCATTTTGCTACAGCTAGCTGTCTTGTTAGCTGATCAGCTAGCTAGCTAGCTGATCAGCTAGCAGCCAGCTAGCTATGAGGATGAGGGAGGCCGTGGGGGTTATCTGCATGCTCTCTCTAGGCGTGGGGGCGACGCATGCAAGTTGGGATGTGTATGGAGGTGATGCTGCTGCAGCAGCTGCAGCAGCAGCAGGAGAGTTAAGGGCCCTGGAGGTAGCAGCAACAGATGCAGCATCAGAAGCAGCAGCAAATGGGGCAACAGTACCTGCAGCAGCAGATCTAGCAGCAGCAGCAGCAGAAGAAAGAAGGAGGGGATACCTGGATACGATCCCCCAGCTGTCCCATAGGGCACCATCTATAGATATAGAGGGACCATCATTTGCTGCTGCATCTGTTGCTGCTGCTGCTCCTACGGATACTTTTGCTGTTGCTCCTAAGGAGAAGATACATGGTATTAAGACAGCAGCAACAGGTCTCCTTCTCCTTCTTGCTGCTCTTGTATTCAGCAGCAGCAGCAGCAGAAGCAGCAAGAAAAAAGACAAAAAAAACAAGGAGGGACATAGGGATCAGGAGTTATATATTCTTGAGGAGTTTGGGTATCTGAAGGAAGGTGGTGCTGCAGCTGCTGCTGCTCCTGCTGCAGCTGCTGCTGCTCCTGCTACAGCAGCAAGTGTTGCTGCAGCAGGTGCAGCAGCAGTTGCACTATCAGGACTTATAGAGATTATTTTCTCCTTATATAGGAGACACTCTGCCTCCTCAGGAGACAGGGTGTATAGGGGTCTCCCCCAGTTGCTGCTAGCATTAGCTGCTGTTGCTGCTGTTACTTTAGGTACCAGCAGCAGCAGCAGCATCAGCAGCAGCAGCAGCAGCAGCATAGGTGCTGCAGCAAATACAGGAGGAAAAGGACCGCTGCAGCGGGGGGTCTCCTCTTTTGCTGCTGTACTAGCAGCACTAGGTTTGCTGCTGCTTGCTCCTGGTCTTCTATGGAGGGGAGCAGCAAGGTTGCTGCAGCAGCAGCAGCAGCAGCAAGAGGAGGATAATTATAATACTTTTTATACAGAAGAATATATAGAAGGAGATGCAGCAGCAACAACAGCAGCAGGTGTCTCGGCTACAGCAGCAGAGCATGCAGCAGACAGCGAGGGAGGACGCACAGGCGTAGACTCTGTTGCACAAAGAGCAGCAACAGCAACAACAACAACAGCAACAGCAACAGCAGCAACAGCAGCAGCACAAACAGAAGTAGGTGCAGCAGACACAGCAGCAGCAGCAGCAGCAGCAGCAAACGATCCCTATACCCACCAGTATCCCTACAACTATCATCAGCAGCAGCAACTTCAGCAGCCACTACTGCACCACCACCAGCAGCAGCATCTGCACCAACAGCAGCAGCAGCAGCAGCAGCAGCAGGAAGAGGAAGAAGGAGAAGGAGACTCTGTATGGGATAGTGTCTCCTTAGGTGCCTATACACCCGAAGAAGTGTCTCCTTTTGGTGACAAAGAGCAGCAAGACTATCTAAGACAAATCTCTCGTCTATTAGGCACAGAAGGAGACACTACTACTAGTATACCTGATACTGCAGCAGCAGCAGCAGCAGCAGCAGAAGCAGCAGAAGCAGAAGCAGCAGAAGCAGCACCAGCAGCAGATACAACTGCAGCAGATGATGCAACAGAAGATGAGGAAGAAGAAGAAGAAGAAGAAGATGAGGAAGAGGAAGAGGAAGAGGAAGAGGTAGAGGAACCAGCAGCAGCAGCAGCAGCAGAACCAGCACCAGCAACACCAGCAGCAACAGAAGCAACAGCAGCAACAGCAGCAGATGGAGATGCTGCTGCTGCAGATACAATTGTGTCTCCTCAATGGGGACTGCTGCCTGCAGAAGTAGATAGAGACACCTGGCCCTTCTATAGCACACCTAAGGGAACAGAGACAGCAGAAGAGGAAGGATAAATACTGCAGCAGCAGCAGCAGCAGCAGCAGCAGCAACAGTAACAGCAACAGCAACAGCAGCAGCTGCTGGTGCAGCAGCAGCAGCAACAGACTGAAAAGCAAAAGGGAGGACGCAGCAACACAAACGAACGCCAGCACCAGTTGGATAGGCTGCAGGGTGCACAAAGGGATGCTGCTGCTGCTGCTGCTGCAGGAACAGCAGCAGCAACAACAACAGCAGCAGCAGGGGGAACAGCAGCAGCAGCAGATGAATTTGCAAAGCAAACGAGGGAACGGACCAACTAAAGAAGTTGGCAACAACTGCTGCTGCTGCTCCTCCCGTAGCTGCTGCTGCTGCTGCTGCTGCTGCTGCAGTCCATACAGGAGCACATAAAGCAGCACATGCACCAACAGCAGCAGCAGCAGCAGCAGCAGCAACAGCAGCAGCAGCACATATGGCATTAGTGTGTGTATTGCTGTTTGTATTGTTGGCTTTAATTTCTGCACATTTATTCACAAATTGTTTGAGGAAAAAAAAGGAAAGAAAAAAAAAAGAAAAAAACGAAAAAAAAAAGAAAAAGGAAGAAAAAGACAGAGAGAAGGGTGAGGTGTACAGACACCTCAAGGTGTATAGACACCTCAAGGTGTATAGGCACCTCTAGGTGTATAAATATACACCTGAAGGTGTATATATACACCATTAGGTGTATATGTATATAAATAATTATTGAGGTGCCTATACACCTTGAGGTGCCTATACACCTTGAGGTGCCTATACACCTTGAGGTGCCTATACACCTTGAGGTGTGCCTATACACCTTGAGGTGCCTATACACCTTGAGGTGTGCCTATACACCTTGAGGTGTATATTTGTATATCTCTAATTGGGAGATTTGGACTCTTTTGTTTGTTGATTATTAATTGAGGTGTACATACACCCCAATTTATTTAAATAATAAAAGGGAAATATTTATTTATTTATTTATTTATTTATTTATTTATTTGTGGTGTATATACTCAGCTTGTACATAATTATATAATATATATTCATTAGTACAACATATAATTATTCACTAATTAATTAATAATAATAATAAATAATAAATAATAAATAATAAATAATAAATAATAAATAATAAATAATAATTATTTTATTATTATTTATTATTTTACAACAAAGAGCAGCAAAGGTGTCGTTACAACAGGCTGCTGCTGTTGCTGCTGCTGCTGCAGCTGCTGCTGCTGCAGCAGCAGCAGCAAGTGCAGTGTGCATGCACCTTCTCTTGCTGCTGCTGCTGCTGCAGTGTATATCGATGTTGGTTAGTGCAGCAGCAAATAGTCTGTGGGGTAACAGCAGCAACAGCAACATCAACAGCAACAGCAGCAGCAACAGCAGCAGCAACAGCGGCTTTAATTGCTAGTACTATTGAGGGGGGAAATAAATTAAATAATTATTTATTATTATTAATTAAATAATTATTTATTATTTATTTATTTAATTAAATTATTTATATCTTAGATCTCCTTAATGCGACGGCAAACAGCAGCAGCAACAACAGCAACAGCAACAGCAACAGAAGCAACAGCATCAGCAACAGCAGCAGCAGCAACAGCAGCAGCAGCAACAGCAGCACACCTCAACAACAGCAACTGCATAACAACAGTAACAGCACTAACAGCTCAACAGCAGCAGCAACAGCAGCAGCAACAGCAGCAGCAACTGCAGCAGCAACTGCAGCAGCAACTGCAGCAGCAACTGCAGCAGCAACAGCAGCAACTGCAGCAGCAGCAGCTAAACAACAGCAGCAACAGCAGCAAAAGCAATCGATGAATAGGGAATAAGGCAATAATAAATAAGTTAGCATAAAAGAAGAAAAAAGAAGAAAAAAAAGAAAAAAAAATAAAATAAATAAATAAATAAATAAATTAATTAATATTTTATTTAATTAAAAAAAAAAATAAAAAATAAAATAAACAAATAAGGTGTATATATACCCCAATTTACACACACACTTGCTGCTGCTGCTGCTGCTGCTGCTGCTGCTGCTGCTGCTGTCACACGGGGCTGCTTGCTGTTTGTTGTTTATTTATTGCATGCATAATAAAATATTTATTTATTTATTTATTTATTTATTTATTTATTAAATAAATAAATAAATAAATATATTTTATATTAATAAAAGAGGAGCAGCAACTCCCTTTCTCTTAGTCCCTCCTCTTCGGTCACCACTGCTGCTGCTGCTGGTACAGCTGCTGCTGCTGTTGCTGCCTGCAGCGCTGCTGCTGCTCAGCTGCTGCTGCTGCTGCTGCTGCTGTGCTCTGGGGGTGGTCGCTCCCCTTCCTCCTCTTTTTTTGCTTCTTTTTTCTGCTTTTTTTGCAACAATTTATTAATTGTTTTTTATTAAATAATAAATATAATAAATATTAACAACTAGCTTAGCTGAGGTGTACGTACACCCCAGCAGCAGCACCCCTATATATATACATATATATATCTTGCGTTGACTGCAGCAGCAGCAGCAGCAACAACAACAACTAGCAACAGCAGCAGCAGCTGCAGCCGCTGCAGCAGCAACTAGCAGCAACAGCACATTCCATTGACGTGCTGCCGAGGGATAGTGCAGCAACAGCAGCAACTGCAGCAGCAGCAACAACAACAGCAGCAGCAGCAGCAGCAGGGGGTTTTTTAGAGGCATAGGGCTCTTGAAGTCCTTTTTTGTTTTATTTTCCCCCCTTACCGCTACAGCAGCAGCAACTGCAGCAACTGCAGCAGCAGCAGCAGCAGCAGCAACCGCAGCAACAACAGCAACAGCAACAGCAGCAGCAACAGCAGCAACAAAGATGACTGGTCCTATTCGCTGCCTCGTAGGGGCAGCATTGCTGCTGCTGCTGACGGGTTCTGGTAATACAGGCAGCGCTCCTGCTGCTGCAGCTCCTGCAGCAACAGCAACAGCAACAACTGCAGCAACAGTAACAGAGAATGAGCAGCAGCAAGATGTGCTGCTTTTTCATGGGGACAGTCCGATCCCAATACGGGGACGATCCCCAGCAGCAGCAGCAGCACCAGCAGCAAAAGCACCAGCAGCAGCAGGAGCAGCAGCAGCAGCATGGGATGCACCAATCCCTATAGACTGGGATAAATTGCTAGGAGCAGCAGAAGGCGAGCAGCAATCATTTGCTGCTGCTGCTGCTGCAGCAGCAGCAGCAGCAGCAGATGTCCTACCAGAGGATTATTTATATAAATTATTCCCTGATGCTGCACCTAAGGCAGGATGGAGGCAGCGACGGGGTGTACGTACAGCTCTGCTGGGTGCCGTAGGTCTTGCTGCTGTTGTTGCGCTGCACATGCTGCAGCAGCGGCAGTCTGCAGCAGCAGCAGCAGAAGCTGCAGCAGCAGCAGCAGAAGCAGGAGATATAGAGGCACAGGAGAAGCAGCAAATAAATAAAGGAATAAATAAGGCACATGCTGCTGCTGCTATTGTGTCTCTTGTGCTGCTGCTGTCTGGATTAGGAGAAGCAGCAGCAGATATCATGGCAAAAAAGAAACAGCAGCAGCAGCAACAGCAGCAGCAAGTAGATTTGCTGCTGCCTACAGGTTTCTTCTCCCGCGGCAGAAGACGTACAGCAGCAGGACTTGCTGTTGCAGCAATATCTGGTTTGCTGCTGCTGCTGGGTAGCTTTGTTGGTCTCCCTGCTGCAGCACAAGCAGCAGCAGCAGCAGCACTAGTTGCTAGCAGCACGCTTGCTGCTGCTGGCATATTATTAATACTTAAGGAAGCAATTAATGCATGGCGTGTTGCTAAGAAATTATTTAATAACAGCAGCAGCAGCAGCAGCAGCAGCAACAGCAGCAACAGCAACAACCCACTGCAGCAGACAGCAGCAGTTGATATGCATCTGCTGTCACAGCTGCTGCAGCACTTTGCTGCTCCTGCTGCAGCAGCAGCAGCAGCAGACACAGACGCACTGCAGCAGACCTTAGATCTATTAGCAGAAGCAGCAGACTTAGGTAGTCTGGAGCAGCTGCTGCTGCAGCAGCAGCCTGCAGCAGCTGAGCAGCAGCAGCAGCAGCAGCAGCTAGAGGGAGAGAAGAGCAGCAGCACTTTTCTAACAAGGGAGAGTGTTAGTGCACTAGGTGAGCAGGTGCAGCAGCAGCAGCAGCAGATGCAGCAGCAGCAGCAGCAGTCCGAGCAGCAAATAGAAGATATTGCTGCAGCAGCAGCAGAGAGACTAAGCGAATTGTCTCATGACCTCAGCAGACACCCCGAGCTGCTGCTGCTGGCAGCAAACATCAAGGAGCAGCAGCAGCTGCAGGAGCAGCTGCAGCAGCAGCTGCAGCAGCAGATTAAGAATTCTCCTTACCATAGAGGGTTTGCTGCTGGGCGTCAAGACAGCGACAGCGGAGCAGCAGCAACAACAGCAGAGGAAGCAGCAGCAGAAGCAGCAGCAGCAGCAGAAGTAGCAGCAGCAGTAGCAGGAAGAACACTATGATTCTCTATAATCCTAATAAACACACAAGAATCAGCAGCGGTGGGGTTGCTGCAGCAGCAGCAACAGCAGCTGCAGCAGCAGCTGCTGCTGCAGCAGCAACAGCAGCAACAGGGCAGGAAACTGCACAGGTAAGGTGATGGTTGCTGCTGTTTGCTGCTGCAGCAAAAGTCTATACCGTAAGGCCGTCTTCAGGCCACAGACGCAGCAGCAGCAGCAGCAGCAGCAGCAGCGGCAGCGGCAGCAGCAGGTCATGGCCTCAGCAGCACAATGTAGCAGCAAAAGATAAATGCAGCAACAGCAGCAGTGCAAAGTAGCTTGCTGCAGTGGGTGTCGCAGCAGCAGAATGCTGCAGCAGCAGGAGCAGAATGCAGCAGCAGCAGCAACAGCAGCAGCAGCAGCAGCAGCAGCAGCAAGAAGCGGTCGCAGAGTTGGAGGAAGTATTTGGAGGTTTGCATATGAATTATCCTGGAAGAAACAGCAGCAGCAGCAGCAGCAACTGTTACTGCTGCAGCAACAGCAGCAGCAGCAGCAGCAAGAGCAGCAGCAGAGGGTGGAATTCTGCGGTGTATAGGCAGAAGAAGAAGGGTGAATAAGGGAAGAAAAAAGTAATTATTTTTATCTTTTTATATAAATAAATATAATTATTTATATATAATTATAATTAATTATATTTATTTATATTTATTTATATTTATTTATATAAAAAAAGATAAAAATAAATAAAAAAAAAAAAAAAAAAGGGTTTTATTGATGGGTATAATTGGGGCTTTTTTTCCTGCTGCTGCTCCCCCTGCATGCATGCATGCATTCCTTGGGGTGTACGTACACCCTAATTTATTCAACGCTGTATTCTTCTTGGAACTCCTGAGCAGCGCATCTTTATTTATTCAACACTTTCTTTTCTTTATAGCATTGCACTTTATACTAGGGTTTTTACGAGGGTTTAGGGTTTAGGGTTTAGGGTTTAGGGTTTACATGCAATATTTCAATCTAGGGTTTAGGGTTTAGGGTTTAGGGTTTAGGGTTTAGGGTTTTCTACATACAGTATTTGGATCTAGGGTTTTGGGTTTAGGGTTAGGGTTAGGGTTTACATGCAGCGTTCGTACATACGGTCTATTATTAGGGTTTAGGGTTTATTATTAGGGTTTATTAGGGTTTAGGGTTTAGGGTTTACATACCTGCATGAAGTGCAGCAGATGTTCAATATGCTCCGTCGTAATCCCCGAGTATAAACAAACTCGTAAACCCCCGATAGATCGATGACCATTCTGCAGCAACACAGAAAAGGGTTTAGGGTTTAGGGTTTAGGGTTTAGGGTTTTGTATAGAGGATGTATTTGTAGGGTTTAGGGTTTAGCAAGTTAGAGGGAGTATATAAGGTGTTAATTAGGGTTTAGGGTTTAGTGGATAAATTAATTCAATCATAAATATTATTAATGACAATTAGGGTTTATATAAGGGTTTATATGAGGGTTTATATAAGGGTTTATAAGGGTTTAGGGTTTAGGGTTTAGGGTTTAGGGTTTAGGGTTTAGGGTTTACAAGACAAATCATATTATTTTCTTGTGCTTTTTCTAAGAAAAGATTCATTAATAATTTATCTTTTTCTTTTGCCTTATTTATTTCTTCTTTTCTTTCTATTAATTTATAATTCCCCTCTATATGTATATTATTATTTCTTGCTCCTCTTCCTCCTCCCTCTCCTCCCCCTAACTCCTGCTGCTCCTTCTCCTCCTCCTCCACCTCCTCCTGCTGCTGCTGCTGCTGCTGCTGCTGCTGCTGCAGTGCATGCATATTTGCTGTTATATAGAAACGAATAGTTAATCTAGATCTGCATGCATCATGTACAGGTGCAGTATAGAATCCTTGGCTATGATCTATGTGTCTATACACCTGAATACTATTATTATAATAATAATTATAATAATAATATAAATCCCCTTTTTTATTTAATTTATTTATTATTTTATTTGTTATATATATATTTATACAAGGAGGTGTATTTATACAACTATTATTTATATGCATCTTTTTATAGTCTAATATACTTGGACAATTCAATACTTTCTTCTCCTCTTTTTTTTTTTTTTTTTTTTTTTTTTTTTTT